TTGTATTTTTCGGACTGTTTTAAATATATTTTATTTTATCGGGTCCAATAAAATATATTATGTGTTCTCAATCGTAATGGCCCTTTGAAATAATATGTATTCCAAAACATTAATTTAGAAGTCTCCGAAATTCATTTTCGGGCTGTTATCCGTTAAATTGTCGGTACCCGGCATTTGGGCTTCTTTTGCCCAATCGGCCAACACAGGGCCTTTCCACGACCCAAGTAAAATATCCACCACCATATAAATATTATCTTGACCAAGATGAATAAAATATGTGGTCTCGGGAATGTTGGGTGGTCCCCGCTCCCGATGTGGGCCCCACGTGCAATTTACTATTCACGCGAAAGAAAATAACAAAAATTTACAACTTCGTAAATTCATTAATCCTTTAATAAGGTTCAATACATTATTTACATAGAAGTAAATATATTTGGGGACGGTGTTACAAGTTCACCCCCCCTTAATTGGGATTTCGTCCCCGAAATCCAAGTATCTTAATCGAAGAGAAATGGGTATTGCTCCCTCATTGAGACCTCGGTCTCCCAAGTTTCTTCTTCGACTCGATCACTCCTCCAAAGAACCTTTACCATAGGAATTTCCTTATTCCTCAGCTTCTTCACTTGTTGGCCAACAATCTTCATTGGTTCCACCGCATATTGCAAGTCCTCACGGATCTCTACCGGTGGTTTCTCAAGAATATGAGATGGGTCTCGTATGTACTTCTTGAGCATCGATACATGAAACACGTCATGTATCTTCTCAAGTTCCGGTGTCAACTTGAGACGGTAAGCCACGGCCCCTATCCTTTCAAGGATTTCAAATGGGCCGATGTATCGGGGGTTAAGCTTTCCCCTCGATACAAATCGAATGATGCCCTTCCAAGGAGAAATTCTTAGGAAGACCTCATCACCGACTTCGAACTCCAACGGTCTCCGCCGTTTATCAGCATAACTCTTCTGCCGGTCCTGAGCAGCTTTTAGTCTATCCCGAATGATCCTTACCTTGGCCTTGGTGATCTCAACCAGCTCTATCCCTTCGAGTTTGGCCTCGCCAACCTCGTCCCAACACAACGGTGTTCTGCACTTCCTCCCATACAATGCCTCATATGGGGGCATGCCGATACTTGCCTGATAACTGTTGTTATAGGCAAACTCTACTAGGGCCAAATGCTTGTCCCAACTTCCTTGGAACTCCAAAGCACATGCCCTAAGCATGTCTTCCAAAATCTGTATCACCCGCTCGGACTGTCCATCCGTCTGTGGGTGAAAAGCTGTGCTAAACTTCAGTTTAGTCCCCAAAGATGCTTGAAACTTCGGCCAAAATCGAGATGTGAATCGTGGGTCCCTATCCGAGACAATGGATATCGGGACTCCATGTAATCTCACAATCTCCTCCGTGTAGAGCTTGGCCAGTCTTTCAAGAGGATAAGTAATGTTGATAGGCAAAAAGTGTGCACTCTTGGTGAGTCTATCAACCACTACCCAAACTGCATCATAGTTGTTCACTGTTCGTGGTAGCCCCACCACGAAGTCCATGGTCACGTGCTCCCACTTCCACTCTGGGATGGTGAGTGGCTGCAAAAGCCCTGCCGGGTGCTGATGTTCTGCCTTAACTTGCTGGCAAGTAAGGCATCGACTCACATACTCGGCGATGTCTCTCTTCATACCCGACCACCAGTAACTTTCCTTCAGGTCCCGGTACATCTTAGTACCTCCTGGATGCATAGCATAGGCTGAAGAATGAGCCTCCTCGAGTATAGACTTCTGGAGGTCTTCATTCTTTGGTATGCACACACGATCCTTAAACAATAATAGACCATCGTCACGTACCCGAAAGTTCTCAACAGGCCCCTCAATGATTCGTTCACGAATCTTCTGACACTCCTCGTCAATGGCCTGACATCTACTGATCTCACCCAGCAATGTAGGTCTGACCTCAAACCTAGCAATGAGCGCCCCGCTCGTGGATACCTCCACGTGTGCCCTCAATGCCTGTAGACATGTGAGTAGCGTCCCCGACGTACTCTTCCTGCTCAGTGCGTCGGCCACTACATTGGCCTTTCCGGGATGATAGTCGATGATCAAGTCATAGTCCTTGATCAACTCCATCCATCTCCTCTGCCTCATATTCAACTCTTTCTGAGTGAATACATACTTCAGGCTCTTATGATCAGTATAAATGTGACACGTCTCCCCGTAGAGATAATGCCTCCAAATCTTCAATGCAAACACTACCGCCCCCAACTCTAGATCGTGAGTAGGGTAGTTCACCTCGTGTTTCCTCAATTGCCTAGAAGCATAGGCAATCACCTTACCGTTTTGCATCAGTACACACCCAAGCCCTTGGATGCTAGCGTCGCTATAAATGTCATACCCTATCCCCTGTATGGGTAGGGCAAGGACTGGTGCTTCGGTAAGTCGTTTCTTCAATTCAAGGAACCCCTTCTCACATTTGTCGTCCCATATGAACTTGGCCCCTTTCTTTGTGAGCTTCGTTAATGGGGACGCCAATACGGAGAATTTTTCCACAAATTTACGATAGTAGCCTGCTAAGCCAAGGAAACTACGTATCTCCTTCGCATTCCTGGGTCTCTCCCAATCCATGATCGCCTTTATCTTGGCGTTATCCACAGCTACGCCCGAACCGGATATGACGTGACCGAGAAAACCAATCTCCTTGAGCCAAAATTCGCATTTAGAGAACTTGGCAAAGAGTTGCTTTTCCCTTAGCCGATCAAGTATAAGCCTCAAATGATGTTCGTGCTCCTCCTCACTCTTGGAGTATATCAAGATATCATCAATGAATACTATCACAAATTGATCTAAGTATTCACTAAACACCCGGTTCATCAAGTCCATGAATGCTGCCGGTGCATTGGTTAAACCAAATGACATCACAAGAAACTCGTAGTGACCATATCTAGTGCGAAATGCACTCTTAGGTATGTCACTCTCCTTGATCTTCAACTGATGATACCCCGATCTCAAGTCAATCTTCGAGAATACTATGGCCCCTCGAAGTTGATCAAACAAGTCATCAATCCTAGGTAAAGGATACCTGTTCTTGATTGTGACCTTGTTCAACTGTCGGTAGTCGATACACATTCTTAGCGTACCATCTTTCTTCTTTACGAAGAGTACGGGTGCTCCCCACGGTGAATGACTGGGTCTGATGAACCCGTTGTCCAGTAGCTCTTGTAGTTGGACCTTCAACTCTTGAAGTTCGGCCGGTGCCATTCGATAAGGAGGAATCGAAATGGGTTTGGTTCCCGGCTCCACTTCGATTACAAATTCAATCTCTCTATCGGGTGGAAGCCCCGGTAGGTCCTTTGGAAAGACGTCCGGGTACTTGCACACGACTCGAACATCCTTGATGTCGACTTCTTTCTTCGTATCATCCATCACGTAAGCAAGGTATGTGTGGCACCCCTTCCTCATCATCTTCCGTGCTCTCATTACGGATATGATGCAAGCATTGGATTTTCCTCGATCTCCCTCGAAACATACCGTGTTTCCTTGATCATCCTCGAGCTCCAACACCTTGGTGTAGCAATCTACTCGAGCATGGTGTCTCTCGAGCCAATCCATTCCTAGGATTGCGTCGAACTCCAACATGCTTAGAGGTACAAAATCACAAGTCAAGGGTTGACCCGTCACTTCCACCTCACATGATGGATAGTAATGATTTCTCTCCACATCGTCTCCTAACGGTGTGGAGACTAGCAACGTTTGCGTCATAGGTGTCAATGGCACGTCAAGGCCCTCGGCGAACGCCTCGCTCACAAATGAGCGTTGTGCCCCGGTATCGATGAGGATCCTCGCACACCTACCATTGATCTTTAATGTTCCTACATTTATACATCATGTAAGATACATTTTCTAAGGTTTTTACACATCATTAGGATGTTATTAGGTTCACACTAATGTTTGGAATCAAACGGGGGTCCAAACGTAGAAGAACGGGGCGAAAAAATCAATTTTCGGGTGTTGGGGGTCCACGCACGGCGTGCCTGGGTGAAAATCGGAGATCCACCACTGCAGGCTACGCACGATCGTGCGTAGCTGGTCACGCACGATCGTGCGTCCCACGCACGGCGTGCCTGACCTGCACGCACGGCGTGCGTCTGCGCGGAATAAGGCCAGAGGCTACTGCCTCGCACGCACGGTCGTGCGTCTGTGGGTACGCGCGATCGCGCGTAGTTGTTTTTAGCCCGTTTCGCCCCGAATTCGCGGGGTTTGACCCCGGGGTGGCCCGCACCCAAACCCAATGACTTATATGACCCAAATAAGCCTAGAAATACAGGAAAATAAATGTATTACCTGCAACGGAGTCCGGGTTTGCTCGCGCATCCGCCTCGGTCATCGCGTAGACTCGTGCTTGGGTCCCACCTTGGTTGACAGATGCGGCATGGCTTGTGGATGCACCGCCTCTTCCAGTACCGCCGTTTGACGGTCCCGCACGGTTTCTTCCCGTCATGGTCCCTCCCCCGGCTCCCGAGGCACTCTCTTGCATCAATTGAGGGCAATTGGCCTTCATATGGCCCGCATTCCCGCACTTAAAACACCTCGGTGGTTCATTACACTTCCCAAAGTGTTGTTTTGAGCAATTGGGACATCTAGGTGGCCCCGAGTTCTGTGGCCTAGGTCCGTGCCACCTCGCATCCCTATTCTTCTTTGCCGGTGGAGCCGGCGTCTTGAATGAACCACCGCCACCACCACCACCCCCGTGGTTGTTCCTTCGAGAATGATCGGGTGGCCCCGAATTATTCCACTTCCTCTTCTTCGCCTCTTCGGCGTCCCTTGCTTTCCTCTCATTCCACTGGGCCTCTCCAAGAAGACCCTGTTCCACCACCTCGCTAAATGACATGTGGCGAGAGTACGTAGCTCGGTCACGGATATCCAAGAGTAATGCATCCCAGAAGTGCTCCGTCATGCGGTTCTCATCAACCGCGTACTCTGGCAAGAACCTCGCCAAGGTTCTAAACTCTTGTTCCAGCTGCTTAACCGTGCCGCCATCTTTCTGTTTGAGGTTAGTGTACTCTCTCCGTTTCACATTCACCTCGTACTCGGAGTAGTATTGAGCATAGAACTCTAGCTCAAAGTCCGCCCATGTTATTTCCCCATGGTACTTCCCTTCCACGCTCTCCCACCACGTAGAGGCTATCCCTTCAAGTAGCCGTGAAGCGACAGTCAACTTCACGTCCGGTGTGATTTGCATGTCTCTTGACGCATCCTTCACCTTCTTAATCCAATCGGCGGCAACGGTAATGTCACCGGTGCCGTCAAAGGACCTACACCCCAAGGCCCTAGCCTCCTTGAGGTACTTGGAGATTCTCACAACAAAACCTCCTTCACGCCCACCTTGTGACGCCGCTGGGGTGGCCACGGAAGCTCCCCGGCTCCCTTGACCCGAACCACCACGAGAGCCACGCCTCGCTTGGCGCCTAAGGTCTCTCCTCAGTTTCTCCTTTTGATACCACTCAAGTAATTCACCCATTTGGGCGAAGCGGGCATCACTTTCATCATTGTCCTCATCGGTGTATGTGTCACCCCCATCATATGGGGTCTCCTCATGCTCTGTCTCAGGAACATACGTAGAGTCATAATCCTCGGTGTTGGTTTCATACACCGAGCTTACATGGCCATCACTCACAGTTTGAGCTTGATGACCTCCACGGCTTCCACGGCCTCCACGGCCTCCTCTTGAACCCCGAGATGCAGCCCGGCTTCCCCTTTGGGATGTTACCGGCGCCTGCCCCCTCGGATTGTTCCTGGTCCGCATTCGCCTGCCCTCCATTTCTGAAAGAAATATGGATGAGTCATTAGACTCCTATAAATGTCAATCGACGGAAAAACGTTACAGACACATATTGGCCCAAGTCACCCCCATACCAATTGTTAAGGGTACCGTCTTAACAATTAGAGGCCTTGCAACTTAAGCACCAATAGTCCTATAAACGTCAAAATACAATGCTCATGGTTTTCGGTAAAAACTCTTTTGTAAAATCTGTTGTGAGAGGTTGATTATATAGTTTAGAACTGAGATGGCTCTGATACCACTTAATTGTCACGCCCCAGACCGCAATCCAAGCGCGTGTACAACCGCCGCATAATCAAGTGACGTCACCCGCGAGTCAACCTCACTTGATTACACAAGGCGTTCGAGAAAATAATCCATCCATACTCAGTGGTAAACATACATAACAACATCACATTTAAACCAATGAATAGCGGAAATATTCAACGGTAAGTCATAAGCCACAACCGGCCAATATCATGGGCATGCAAGCCCCAAAAGAATAGTTTATGACAATAAAAATATCCATGAGCAATGTTTGGTAATTTGAAATAAAATGAGGAAGCACGAACCACGTCTTCCTTGATTGATGTCACCCGTAGAAAGGTGCAGGTAGCAAGCCCTAGCTTCAACCTGAAAATGGTGGGGCCCCCCGAAGGGGTCAGTACAAGTACCGAGCGAGTAGCAGGCTAAATATAGAATAACTAGCGTTTCAAGTATAAGACCCAAACATAGGATGATACATATACGTATAGTCCTTCCCCCAAGTTTGAAATACATATTAGTATACATACACTTGGAAATACCCGACCCGTAGGTCATTGTTTATTTGGGAAAATAATAGTAGTCAATATCCTTGACTTAAATCCCAACCCACCCATATACCTATGAGTGTATAGAACTCCTCCTTGGTCAAATAAATTATCATAAGGACACCGCCCGGTCCTAGATCATTAAATGCAATCTATGAGTTTTGAGGATACACGCCCGATCCTTGGGTACTCCACCCTATAATTGAGTTTTGAGGATAACCGCCCGATCCTTGGGTACTCCACCCTATATAACCGAGTTTTGAGGATAACCGCCCGATCCTTGGGTACTCCACCCTATATAACCGAGTTTTGAGGATAACCGCCCGATCCTTGGGTACTCCACCCTATATAACCGAGTTTTGAGGATAACCGCCCGATCCTTGGGTACTCCACCCTATATAACCGAGTTTTGAGGATAACCGCCCGATCCTTGGGTACTCCACCCGACCTATGACTTACCACATATCACGCTAGATAGGGTCTATATCATATTTAGTCATTCATAACTAATTCAATACATAAAACTTATGTATCACATTCCATGCAAAGCCATGCAATTATGTAAATGTACAATTAATTAATATCGACCGGTATTAATTAATCCATTATCCACCGGTCAACGTGGTCGTTGACCGCCATTACAAACCTTGTACAAATCAACTTAATCATCACATAATTAAGTTAAAATATTCATTTGTGCTTCTAATACACTTCAAGCAAATATGCATTCTATATAATTCTTCATATCATATTCTATGCATAAACAATCTATTTCTTTCATACAAACTTAACCCTATTGGCTAATCACATGTTTAAATATCTTTTAAACATCATTATGAATTCATATAACATTTATTTAGGTAATCTTATAATTAACCCAAAAGTTATAAGATATTAAGCCGTCCACTCACCTTGAACTAGCGTTAAGAAGTTCTACCCTTCTTGGTTGAACTCCGGTGAAACTCCGGTGACTTTTGGTCAACTCCGGCGACAACTCCGGCGACTTTTCCAACTTTGTGAAATCACTTGAAATACCTTTCACAAGTTCCTAACAAGGTTTTAACATCATAAAACCTTAATCAATACAAATAACCTATAAAAGGTTATTTTCCGGTGAACCGGTCGTTTTTGGCTTCTAAGTCCGTTCTTGGACGTAGAGCCACCTTTCAACCCATGAATCCATACTTGTGACATATGGAACCATACTAAAGGTTGTCTACATGATATATACCTCATATGGTAAAAGAAGAATGAAGGAGAAGTTATAACAAGGTCATTACCTTAATTATTCACACTTTTCCTAACTTTTTCCTTCTCAAACCTCCTTCCTTGGACCAATTTCTCTTGAGCTCGTGCTGCAACAATGGAGGTGGTTTTGAGAGCTTTTCCTCTTCTTTTCTTGAGGTCTTGGTCGAGCTTGGTGATAGGGGTGAGAGGGAGTGGTTTATTTTGTCTCAAATGACAAAATGTGTGATGGGTGAGGGGTCATCCTTGTACTTTGATGCCAAAGCCTCCTCCTCCACACCTTCCTTTATCATATCCAGCTCCCCTTTGTCTAATTGAGCACAAAAAAACGTGGGGTGGCCCCCACTCATGTGGGAGGTCATCCCTTTGTGTCCCGATGTGTACAATCGGTCCCGAAAATTGTATTTTTCGGACTGTTTTAAATATATTTTATTTTATCGGGTCCAATAAAATATATTATGTGTTCTCAATCGTAATGGCCCTTTGAAATAATATGTATTCCAAAACATTAATTTAGAAGTCTCCGAAATTCATTTTCGGGCTGTTATCCGTTAAATTGTCGGTACCGGCATTTGGGCTTCTTTTGCCCAATCGGCCAACACAGGGCCTTTCCACGACCCAAGTAAAATATCCACCACCATATAAATATTATCTTGACCAAGATGAATAAAATATGTGGTCTCGGGAATGTTGGGTGGTCCCCGCTCCCGATGTGGGCCCCACGTGCAATTTACTATTCACGCGAAAGAAAATAACAAAAATTTACAACTTCGTAAATTCATTAATCCTTTAATAAGGTTCAATACATTATTTACATAGAAGTAAATATATTTGGGGACGGTGTTACACCATCTACGCCACCCCTGATGTCTGCCTCACCCGCGACTTCATCTACCAAAACCACGACTGTCACGCCTCAGCCGCATGTTAGTCCTTCCCCGGTCCTTAATATTCATCCCATGCAGACAAGGGCAAAGTCGGGAATTTTCAAACCCAAACAAATTTTTAATTTAAACACTGTTGTTTTATCAGCTGATCCTACATGTTTTTCTGAGGCTAATAAACATATTATTTGGTGAGCGGCAATGGCTGAGGAATTTAATGCTCTTATTTCTAATAATACGTGGGATTTAGTGCCTTTTGATCATACTAAAAATGTTGTGGGCTCTAAGTGGATTTATAAGACAAAATATAAATCAGATGGTTCTATTGAGCACCACAAAGCACGTCTGGTAGCTCAAGGTTTTAATCAACAGGCAGGTGTGGACTTTTCTGAAACTTTTAGTCCAGTTATTAAACCCACCACTGTTCGTATTGTCCTTACATTAGCTGTTTCTTTTGGGTGGGTCATTCGTCAATTGGATGTCAAGAATGTATTTTTGCATGGTCACCTCACAGAGGAAGTTTATATGCGTCAGCCACGTGGGTTTGTTCATCCTTTGTTTCCTAACCAAGTTACGGCTGGACGAGAATGTGGAATTTTTCCATCCCACCTGAAGTTAAGTCCTTCTTCTGGAAGGCTGCCTACCAATGGTAGAGGCGTTAAGAATAAAAAATGTTAGCTGCTCTCAAGTTTGTCCGTCTTGCTCCAATGGAATGGAAAATTTAATTCACACTTTTGGCCTTTGTCCAGTTGCGCAGCTGGTTTGGGAATTAATGAATCGGAAGTTTCATATAGTTGCTGAAACTAGCTTTGTAGAATGGATGAAGTATGCTGAGCAAATTTAGGGAAGAGTGCTGCAGTAAGTTCATAATGTTAATATGGGGATTGTGGAAAGCAAGGAATGAAAGGTTGTGGCAGCAGGTTTCAACATCACCTAGGAGTATAGCGGCAGCGGCTCTAAACTTTTTGTAATGCTGGCAAAAAGCTCAGGGGACTGATAGCAGGTCTCGGTGCATATTTCAGATGCGTGGGCGATGGGTGAGACCGGAAGAACGAAGGCTGAGAATTAACACAGATGCTGATGTTAGAAAAGGGTTGGGCAGTTAGGGCTGGGATGGGTGGCAAGGTCCAGTGAGAGGAGTTTTTGTAGCAGGCGGTGCAATCAATAGACCAGTGGATTTTACGCCAAGGGAGGCGGAGGCGCTGTCCTTTCAGGAAGCATTAAGCTGGATGAAGGAAGTGGGCTAGGACCATATAGATTTGGAGTCGGATGTGCAGCAGTTGATAAAAGCCATTCAGTGGATCGGACGAGTCATGTTTGAGAGCTAGCGTGTTGTTTTAGTGAAATTACTTTTGCTCATATGAAGCGACCAGCAAACCGAATAGCGCATGACCTTGAACCATGATTTTATTATCATATAAGCTAAACTGATTTTTGTCAACAACAAAAAAAACATACGTCTCCACTTGTAGATTTCATTCATATCAATAGCATAATTGTCTATTTTTTAGAAAAAATCAATGAGTTTGATCTACTGGCCTGGCAATTATATACTCCTAAAATATCTTATTAATTGATAATGTAGTATGCATATATGAATTCCAGATCTAAGAAGTTGTTCTCTTCGTCTTAATCTTATTACTTATTGCTTATTCTTATTTTATTCAGATCAGATCAGAAAAATTAAGATCAGGTCAGATCAGAAATATTCGGATCAGATCAGAACCATTCAGATCAGATCAGAAAGATTCAGATCAGATCAGATCAGACCAGACCAGAAACATTCAGATCAGACCAGAAAAATAAATTATATTAATTATAATAAATATATTATAATTATTGTTAATAATATTAATAATATATTAATAATAATATAATAATATAATATTAATAATATAAATATTATTATATTATAATAATAGAAATAATAATAAAAATTTGTTATATTATTATTATTATAATATTATTGTTGTTGTTATAATGATAATAATAATATTATAGTTTATTATTCTAATAATATTATTATTTTTATATTATAATATTATTATTATTATTATTATTATTATTACTATTATTAATATTATTACATATTATTATTTTTGTTGTAATTATTATTATTATTATTATTATCATCATCATCATCATGATTATTATACAGAGTAATTATAATTTTATTTATAATTATTATCAGTTTCTCAAAGGCAAGCTATCAAACCGGAGAGGCTGGAACTAGTTCACACCGACCTTTGGGGACCTGCAGAAGTTACATCCTTAGGAGGATCTACTTACGACGTGACCTTCATTGATGATACCACAAGAAAGGTATGGGTTTATTTTATCAAAAATAAATCTGATGCCTTTGATGCTTTCAAGAGGTGGAAAGCTCGTGTTGAGACAGAGACAGGTCTGAAGTTGAAGTGCCTTCGGTCAGATAATGGAGGTGAGTATGAACTGCATGAGTTCAAAAATTTGTGTGCTGAGAATGGGGTTCGTATGGAGAAAACAACTAAGGGGACTCCGCAGCATAATGGTGTTGCTGAACGCATGAACAGAACACTAAATGAGTGGGCAAGATGCATGAGGTTGAAGAGTGGCTTACCGAAGATGTTTTGGGCGGATGCAGTGAACACCGCGGCTTTTCTCATCAATAGAAGTCCAACGATCTCATTGGAGAATGGCATTCCTGAAGAAAGGTGAACGGGTAAGGAGGTTAATTTGTCCTATCTCCGCATATTTGGTTGTGTTGCTTATGTTCATATCAGTTCCGTTGACCGAAGCAAGCTAGACGCTAAATCTGTCAAGTGTACATTCGTTGGCTATGGTGGTGATGACTATGGATACAGATTCTGGGATGATCACAATAGGAAGATTATTCGTAGTCGAGATGTGGTGTTCAACGAGCAGGTTATGTACAAGGACAGATTGAGTGCATCCGATTCTGAGCAAGAAAGTCCGAAGATCATAGAGTTGGATATCTCTAATTTGGGTGGGATCAAGCAGGATCGGAATGAAGAGTTGAGCAGTGATGAGGATCCATCAACCCCGCCAAGGCAGCGGCCTACAAAAAACTGGAGAGCACCAAATAGGTATTCACCCTCTAATTTCTATTTGTTGCTTACTGATGGTGGTGAATCGGAGTCCTATGCAGAGGCAGTTCGGGTTGATGACAAGGGCAAATGGAAACTTGCAATGGATGATGAGATGACATCTCTCACATCAAATGATACTTGGAGGTTAGTTGAGCTACCGAGAGGAAAGGAGGCTTTGCACTGCAAGTGGGTCTACCGCATCAAGAAGGAGGCAGATGGTAGCAAACGCTACAAAGCTAGGCTGGTTGTGAAGGGATTCGAGCAGCGGTATGGTATTGATTACACCGACATATTCTCTCCAGTTGTGAAACTTACTACTATTCGGTTAGTGTTGGGGTTAGTTGATGCAGAGAATTTGTTGTTACATCAGATGGATGTGAAGACTGCATTCCTTCATGGTGATCTGAATGATGAGATTTACATGGTGCAACCGGAGGGCTATGTGGCGGAAGGCAGTGAGAATCTCGTATGTAAGCTAGTGAAGAGCTTATACGGGTTGAAGCAAGCACCGAAGCAGTGGTATAAGAAATTTGATCGTTTCATGCGTGAAATCAGTTTCTTGATATGTCACACCGACAATTGTTGCTACTACAAGAAGACCGAGAACTGTTATCTTATCTTGCTATTATATGTAGATGACATGTTTATTGCAGGAGCTAGTTCAAAGGAGATTGAGAAGTTAAAGCAACAGTTGTCAGAACGTTTTTCCATGAAGGATCTTGGAGAGGCAAAACAGATTTTGGGCATGCGAATTGAGAGGGATAAGGCAGCGGGCAAATTGTATCTTTCACAGGCAGAATACATTCAGAAGGTCTTGGAAAGATTCAGAATGCAAGATGCAAAGGCAGCATGTGTACCGTTGGGTAGTCACTTCAAGCTTAGCAAGGAAGACTCACCGAAGAACAAGGAGGAGCGTGCTCAAATGCAGAAGATTCCATACGCATCGGCAATTGGCAGCATCATGTACGGTTTGCACGAGGCCAGACATTGCACATGCGGTGGGAGTAGTGAGCAGATACATGGGAGACCCCGGGAAAGAACACTGGGAAGCTGTGAGGTGGATCATGAGGTATTTGAAAGGTACTGCTTCTAATGCTTTGTGTTTTGATGGAAAGAATGTAGAGCTGCTGGGACATGTTGATGCAGATCTGGCATCAAATGACTCGGATGGATCAAGAAGCACCACATGGTATGTTTTTACATTTGGTGGGACAGCAGTATCTTGGCTTTCGCAGCAGCAGAAGATTGTTGCATTATCTACTACAGAGGCAGAATATGTGGCCATTACGGAAGCAAGTAA